ATACATACCAGTGCCTGGAGAGCTGTGATTAAAAATGAACAATTCATTAGGAGATCCCAGTGAGTCATTTTATCTTGTGCCATTTTATAGTAGCTGAAAAGAGTGTATCTGTATTGTACCTATAATATGGTCTTTTGGGAGGGAATCATGGATGACTTAAACTAGTAGCATCTATCTGTGCAGTTGGATCTGAACACTGCTACCTCTGCAGAACTAAGTGATACTGCCTGTCAACTGAGATTCAGTAACTAGTGACCAGAAAACTCATGTCCATTTAAAGTGCCAGACAGTACAAACTGCTGCTGACAAAAATAAAAATGAAGGGCAGTAATTCCTTAAAATGTTCAGAGTTAACTGCGAGTGCAGTTATTATAAGCAAGTCCTCGAAACACTGTTAGATACTGATTTTCTTACAATATGTTGTGTTTGATATGAAGTCTGTCCACAGAACTTCCTCACCAATCCCTCTGCAGCTGTATATGTGGGTTTTGTTTGGTGATTGTGTGGCCTTTTCATCCTCCTCAGCGTGTGTTCTGGAACTAAACCTTTGCAGCTTTTAATATGGGGCCTGGCTTGGTGTCTCTGATTTGATTCTTGTAGCTATTCAGAGCTACTTCAAAACTTGCATTAAATCAGGACATCTGGGACAATTTTTTTTTTTTTTCCAGTAAGTGTTAATGTGAATTGACCTGCCTTGCTCTACTTTGTAGCTTCCAGGTCAGCCAGGCTTGGAGGTAATCAGTCCTCTGGAACCAGTACAGGCAACCACTGTGTGTATCCCTGATACATCTGAAATTATGCCTCTAACTGGCACAACTGGAATTGTCTGTTACTGTTCTTTCACTTCTGCCCTCCTAGAGGCACCTTGGCAGGGCTGAGCTCAGGTGAAGTCTTTGAGGATGTTTTCTGTCCATCTGCTTTACTACGCCTTCTGCTGGATGGGTCCTGTTAAGCTTGCTCTGGTCAACAAGCATGAATATAAAATGAAGATGTATTTCAAGTGCTAATTGATTATGGTTTGGCATTAATGCAGCTGTGTAGTCTGACATGGGTGCAACCTAAAAGCATGGGAGGCTTAACAATGACCTCTTTCACAAAAGAAAAGCCCTTGAATTTGATAATGCACTTACACTAAAATAAAATGTACTTCCCAAGACAAACACTCCTCTCATCTTGGATGTGCTGTTGCCAACCACTGTGCTTTGTGCTGACTCAGAACATCCTACTCTTCCTGTACAGCTTCTGTAAAAAGGGCAGGAAGTGCCAGGACAGGAATCCGGTTCTCATGAGCAAATTGATGCAAACAAAATGGTGCCCTGAACTGTGGGAGGTGTGGGTTGGAGCAGAGGATCTTCTGGTTTTGTAGATGGAATTTCTCAAGGGGTGCTCTTAAGACTGGGCTCACTAAGGCACAGATACTTGTCACTGATGGAATTATGTGAAGAGAAGGAGAAGCTTTCAAAGATGAGCTCCACATGGTGAAAAT